GCCGCGAAAAAGCTGTTAAAGCAGCTATTTGCTTCATTAGCGCTAAACTCAAAAAGGCCGCGAACTCTGTTAACTAGCGTACGTATTCAATATGTGTCTTTTTTTTGTATTGTTTTTGTATTGTTTTTGCTCGGTTGCTTGGTACTCACCTCAATGATGGAGATCGCCAGCATGAAGAACGGCCAGTGCAGCCGGTACTCGCTCTTCAAATAGCTCACTTCCGGATCCGCGTTGCAAGCGTATTTCGCCTTCTGCTGGTGCTGCTCCTGTTGCTGTTGCTGCTGCGACTTTTGYTGTTGTTGTTGTTGCGCCTTCTCCATGTAAATGTGTTCGCCGTGTCGCGCACAGCAAGTGCTGCTCGTCGTGCTGCTGTCCGTGTCATAGGAGGAGGACGACGAAGACGACGACAACGACAACGATGAGAGGGCGGTTGTTGGCGCTGGCGCGGGCGCCGTGTTCGCGTTGCAGGATTGCGCTGGCGCCGCCGGCATTGGAATGTCAATGATGGTCGCTTCAATGGCGGGCAATTCGTTGTTCTCCTCGTCGACAACAACAATGGTGCTGTKCTGTTGTTGCAGTTCGTGCTGTTCGACCGCAGCGAGTGCTGCGATAGATTGCTGTYGTTGTTGTTGCTGCTGTTCTGCTTGCTGTTGCCTTATTTGTGCCGCAAATTGCTCCATGTTTTTTTCGCTGCAACGGCTGTTGTTTTCGCTTTTTGTTGTTTTTTTGTTTTTGTTTTAATGTATTACCAGCTTAGCTCTCCACTTGTGTGTGTGTGTGGGTTTGCTATGCTAGTTGTTGTTGTTGCGTATAGTCTTTTGGCTTAACTTCGCGTTGCGCGGCAAGTGTTGAAAGCGAAAAACTGTAAATGTTTGTTTATCATATATATTAATTTTTCACGTGTGTTGTTGGCGCCAGCGTTGAACTGGCGTGCTTTTTCACTGTGCTCCACTTTTCCCGTGTTGTCTTCTCTGCTCGCGCGCCTTTGTTTATCTGCCAGACGTTAATCCGCGTGGCGCTTGCATCTTTGTGTTGTGTTAAATTTGTTGCTGCAAATGGAAGAGAGGAGAAGAAGAAMAAGAACAAAATCAGTTTTCAATATTTTCGAGGAGTGTGAGAAAAAAGTGTAACACCAATAAACAATGAACAGACACACAYGCACACACACTTATGAATGGCTTGTAAGCGCTTGGATGTGTATGTGTGGGAGYGYGAGTGTGGCTATTGTGTGGGCATTTCGCCACTTBCGTHGTTGCAACGAGGCCCATGCCATTTAGCGGTTCTTTCGCGGTCTCAGAAGCTTCAATCAGCGCCAACTCAGTAGCGCCAATCGTCAATATGGCAAAACATGCAGTTCTGCGAATTTATGTAAMTGTGTTTGTAGGTAAGTGAGTGCATAAGATGCGGCGTAGGTTTAACGCTCAAAATTTGAGGCCTTTAAATTTAAAAAAAATGCTTTAAAAAAAACGTTTATTTAAAAAAGAAATTAAAAAAAGTTAAAAATAAAAATAAAAAATTTAAAAAATCAAAAAACTTAAAAAAAAATTGAAAAAATTTATAATACATATTTTTCTTGCGTTTAGCTTTTTTGCATTTTGAAATTCAGGAGAAAAAAAATTTTTTTGGTGTAAAATTCTTTATATTTAAAGTTTCTTTGTTGTTATTGTTATTTTTGACAAGTAACTGTTGGTCCATTTCGCTGAGATGCTCAGCAGAGCCCACAAAATGGCAGCGCAAAGTAAATGGTGCACCAAAAGCGTTGCCAACTTGCGCCAGAGCGCRCACAACTTAACAGCTAACTGCCTGCGTGCGCTTGTTACRTGGCAGTTKTTGTTGTTGTTGCCAGTTGTTTTTTGTAACACGCCAACTTTATGAAAGATGTTCAAAACAGCGCCAACTTGAAGTGAGTTGTAGCAAGTTTTCAGGCGTTTGCGCGCATTCCTTTTCTTCCCTCGCAAACACACACATACACACAAACACAGACGCAACCTAACGAAAGGCACTTGACAGTTGTACACATATTTAAACGCAAGTGGATTAGCGTGTGTTTGGTTGTGACAGTTGCCATTTACAAGATTGCTCTGGCCTACATTCCAGCGCAATTATGCACAAACACACACACACTCACACACATGCTTGCATGGTACACAGCTGGCGGCGGCTTCGGAGCAAGAGCACATACACACAAATACAGCGGCGGTGCTAAAGTACGCCTAGAATTGTTGGGCGAGTCCCTTGAGCTTTAATGGCGCTACACATGTGACTACACACACACAAACACCCATATCCGTATATAGCTATGTGTGCGCACGCTGAGTAATTGTTGTTGCGTTTGTTGTACGTAATTCGAAGTTTCCAGGAATAAGTTTTAGATTAACTTAATGACCAATAAATATGATAGTGCTGCATGTAGCACAAATGTCTGCCCTGCCATGCCATGCTATGCTATGCTATGCTGTGCTGTGCCATGTTCGTAATTAATGGTCAGCAATGGCGTAATCGCATTCGGGACGGGGGAGATAGACATAGGCAGCACAAGTAAGTGGTTCCCCCACCCACATGCCAGCCAAGGCTGCCTGCCGCAGGCCCTTAGGGAATCGCCGAATACATGCAKAGGCGGGGCAATGTGTTAAATCGCTGAGATTGCCAAAGACTTCCAGCAAAACAGACAAAAACTTCAAGAACAACTATTTCCGCATACCAACACTTACACGTACACACACACACACATGCAAGCATACAAATATTTCACGCACCAAACCGCCTGAATGAGTCAATGTTGGAGGGGTCAGCATGCGAAGGAATCTTATGAGTGTATGCAARTGTGTGTTCCACAGCACTGCGGCATTTAAGTGCCACAATTAACGGTAATAAGGCGCTTAATTTTCTTAATTTTATTTTGTTGCTGTTTTTGTTTCAATTTGTTTATAATTTATTATGTAGATATGTGTAGCTGTGCGTTGCTGGCAGAGCTTCTTTGTTATGACAACACGTTTATTGGCGCTACTGCTAGTCGYTGTTGCTGTTGTAGGTGTTTCGCTGGCATGAAATCAAAAGCAAATAAAAAAACGTACTATTGCCTACGAACCAACGCACATACGCAGGTAAAACTATATGACTGCTAGTGGGTGGCAAATTCTGTTTTTGATTTTTATGTGCCACGAATTTCTATGATTTGAATTTTTAAAACTTTTTTTTAAGTTTTTTTAAATTTTTATTTTATTTTTTTCGTTAATTAAACCGATTTTCCTTTTATTTAATTGCCATTGGCTTATCTATGAATTATTTTTGCGAGTTTTTCGACTTTTTATGAAGAATTTTTCACTCAGTTGTGGATTTTTATGGCTTGGCGTCGCCAGAGAGGAGCCGTTTTTATTTCTTAAATGTCTGGGCGGCGCAAAGTTGCAAATATTTTATTGAAAATTATGAAAAAATTATTTTTGGAAYGACAAAAAGCAAGAAATAAACATAAAAGAGCAGAA